GATCCCTTCCCACTTTTCTATGGAAAAACCTATCATTACAACATCTTTCAGAGACACAATCTTCAGACCCAGTGACGTTGAAGCTTGCATCACATCAAACAAACGACAGCTATTCAGATGACTGGATACATGTCTATATCGACGGCTCAGCATTCACAGGAGCAACAACAGTCCATCTCTACGTCGTTAATAAATTCTCATAAATAGAACAACATTCAGCTCATGTAGTTTGTGGTCAGTGATGCTTTTCAGCAAAGAGCTACAACACTGCATGCTTTCTGTCCCAAGAGCTTGGATTTTCGAAGGCTATTTGGGTTATTGCATTGTAGGGTTTAACGTGTTTGCAATGCTGTTTTAACTTGGGCCGGGAATCTGTTGTAAAGAATATTTCTGATAAGTGCAAAGAGTCATGAACAGTTCCTCCAAACAAAACAAAACAAAATAAATAAAACACTAACAAACCCGAAAAAAAGCTTTAAAAAAGCCAAAAACAACAACACCCATCCCCCCAACAATTAATCAAGAACAAAAACAAAACAAAACAAAACAAACAAGCAAACAAACATTTACCGTTTTACTAAACATAAGTTGCATCGCACCAGGGCTAGGTGTGATGCAACTAGAAAACGGCAGGAAGACGAAGGTGCTCAATTCTGCCATTCTGCTAGGGTGGTGTTTCCCACTCGAGATTGGCTCTACTTTCAGGCAAGGTCGTAACAACAACAGTCCGTCTCTACGTTGTAAATCGAAAGCCACCTCTACACCAAATTGTTTTAATTAATTTTATGAACGGTCTATAAAGTAAAGCATTAGCTTGAATAGAGCAGAACAGCAGAACAAAAAGCACATAAACAAACACAAACCTACTTGCTTTCTCTTCCTGTCTCTCTGTCTAGCACTCTCTCTCTCTCACACACACAGACATACACAAACACAAACACACACGCACGAAGCACATACATACACGCACACATACACACACACTCTCTCTCTCTCTCTTTCGTTCTATAATCTATCTCCCACGCAGGTACATAAAATGCACCCTGTCTCTTTCTCCAACACTTTCTCTAGCTCTCATATGAATCGAACTCACACTCACACACTCATTCTCATTTGTGCTTCTGATCTCTCACAACGATAAACACATACACAAAGAACACACACAGGGACACGACACTCCCATCCCGTACAAACACACACTTTAATACACACATACAGATGCACGTCCCACCTCCTCTCTCTCTCACACACATTTACGTGCAATCGCCCCCCCCC